CATTCCGATCGCACCTGTTCGATCAGAATGGCCGACTGATATACGGCCCCCGGCCGGCCTGATTCGACGTAAGGACAATGGAAGCGATCGTATCATAATGGCGGGGTGTTTGCGATGGAAATCCGTTCCCCATGAATCATAAACACGACAAATTAATTATCCGCCTGTCTGTCTCATTTCGGATCCGAGCATCGCCCCGTCGCTGTCACTTACCCGTTGTATTCTAATTTAAATAAGTATATTTATTTAGCCTAAATGTACATGTAATGCATATAGTGGAAAACGTTCTCAACAAAAAATGACAACATTGATAACTTTGAGAGAGTTAAATTAAAAAATGCAGGACTGCAGTAAAACGATAAACGTTACTTATTATGGTTATTTTTTCAGTTTATTATATATTTATTTTTTAACAGTCGTGTTTAACGTCATTCTCTCTACTTATTTTTCTTTTCAAAGTATTACATCTCTATTTATACTTTTTATTATGTCTGTATTCTTCCCGTTCACGTTATTCTTTTTACGCGGGTCGAAACTGCGGAACTAAAAACCAATCGTGAGACTGCAGACGTTTGCAGCAAAGCGAGAAATGTTTTCCCACAATCGAGACCCCGCGTATTCGATAACAGGGGAAAACAACGCGGATGGTCCAGATGGCCGTGCTGCGATGTCGGCTGTGAATCGCGGAGATAAACGCGGAGCAATTCCCTCGCGACTCACCTGTAACACCCTGGAGAAACGATAATAACCGGAAGCGTATCGAGACGAGGTCCATTACCGGGCTGTCGCAGAATCTCTCTCCCTGTCGTTTTCGTCCGCCGATACCGACGCTGGAAATTAGTTGCAATTAGCGGGACACATGCACACAGGGATAATCCCGTGAATACCACTCGACAGAAAAAAATCTGTTTTCTCGCTTTGCGGCAAGCCCGCGGCATGTGTTTTAAATGTAAATTATCATGTATATAAAAGTCGTGTCACACAGTCTGTCTACAAAATCTTGATGCTGATCAATAATTTTTTAGTGTTGAAACGCGCAAAGAAATACATACTTATCCTCGTATCTTTCTTATAGAGAGCAATCTAAAATTAGAAGTATTGCACATAACTTTTTAAAGCCTGGCGTTAAATTATTACATGATAACGTCGGAAAATTGTTGAAAGTGGAGTGAGGGTAAACGGCAGCTGAAATGACGCGATAACGTTTAACGATACCAAATTATGGGTAATCTGATTCAAAGTGGAACTTGTATAATCACAAGCTCCAGCTGGGATTGCGGTCTGTCGATGCTAATTAATAGCGATTAATGAGCTCGGTCTGGCGAACTCCGCTGGGAAAAATGTAAGGCTCGTATACGGACCGACGTAGCGGCTTCGGTGATTAGAACTCGGAACGAGAGCAACAAGTGGCGCACGATGTCTCTCATTATCGGCCAGTTATGGATATAGACTCTCGCCCCTTCTTTGTTTTATGGAGTGTTTGAAAATTTCACGGCGGCTTATCGCGATACGTCCGATCCGGACTATTAATAATCGACGACAGACACGAGTGTGAAGGCCTTGCATTATTCACGCCAATGCCGTCACGGTTCTTTCCCGACAATCTCGCTAGATTGGAATCTCATCTATAGATATTTCAAAATTCATTCTACGCGAAAACTTGAAATAGAAGGATTAAAATATCCTGAAAATTTCGAAAAAAAGATCGAAAACGCTTTGTATAACATATTTTTTGTATAAATGGGAACTAAAAATGCGAATTATTCTTTTTAATTTCCATTTCGTTCGTTCGTCCGGACATCGCGGACAAAAGAATTCATTTAAAAAAATACTGCTTCCTTCGAGCGTCTCGCGATAAGGTCGACATTTGAAATTCCACGGGAATCAAGTTGGAGCCAAAAAATTAGCACGTTGATTTACTCCGTGCAGCATATACCCCCGTATCTCACGTGGCATCTCGACATGCTGCACTTTCCCACTTGCACGTTCTATCTCGGAGCACCAGAACGTGACCGTAGCTTTTTCGTAAGTTCTTCTTCCTCATTCCTTTCCTTCTTTCTAGAAACTTGAGAAACGTAGAGACGAAAAAAAGATCTGAATGATATACGTTTATTTTCTAAAATTTCTTATCCTATACATATTATTATTATTTACTTCACGCGATTATACTTTTCCGTCATGATTTGACAAGCTTAGCAACTGCGTTAATCAAACAATTTTCTCATTTTTATTTGAGACTCGCGATCCCCGCACCTATATTCCGGGGAATACACCTGCTTTTTCTAAAATAGACAAGATCGATTTCAGTCCTCTTAGAAAGTAATTCCCCCCGATTATCCCGCTCGGATCCTCGCGGGAATGCGGCGGATTCAATACGTGAAAGAGAGACGCAATATCTTTGAGGGAGAGTTGCAACCCGCGTTGTAACCCGTGATAATTCCGTTAATGCACACATGTCGTGCAGCTCTAACGAGTTATAATCACTCGAGCACCGGCTGAGTACAGTTTAATGGTTTATTCCCCACATTAGGCACCCTTCTAGTCCCTCTTTCCCACCTTGGCTTCTATCCGCGTCCTCTCATCCGTCTCTCT